GCGGAGGTGCCGTCCGTTCGGCGCTAGGTCATCGGTGATTTGGATCATGATGAGTACGACTCCATCAACCCCGTTCTCTTGAACGTTTCCGTGCGCAATCTACAAGGGTATGTAGATGCACTCCTCTCTCCCTCATTGCTAGATGACTCCATAGATTGATCTTGGTGATGCGTAGAAAATTTTAAAATTCTGCTACGTTCCCCAACACAGTGTTTACCCAGGTTCGGGCCCTCTCAAAGGAGGTAAAACACTACGTCCTGCTTGATTGTATTCGATGAGTATAGGGGTTACAAGAGTTGATCTACCTCGAGATTGTAATGACTAAACCCTAGCCATCTAGCCTATGATTATTCTGATGCTCTCTGCGGACTAAACCCTCCAGTTTATATACACACCGAAGGGGCCTAGGGTTGTACCAAGTCGGTTTGCAGAGGAAAGAAGTATTACACACGGACACCAAACTTGTCGTTCTACGCACATAGGAGTCCTACCCGTACACGGGAGGTGGTCTTCTGCTTCGTCTTCACGACCCATCAGTCCAGCCCATATCGAATAGACCGAACACCCGAGGACCCCCTAATATAGGACTCCCTCACCTACGCATCAAAACCACAATGGTGTTTCGTCAAGTTTGCTGTTTTAACCTTCTTCAAGGACCGGCCGCAGTCAAATTCGATTCAACTAAAGTAGGAGAAACAGACACCCGCCAGCCACCCTTATGCAAAACTAGTTGCATGTCTATCAATGGAACTGGTCTCATCTGCATGGACATGTAAGGTTGGTCCGGGCCGCTTCATCCTAGAATACCGCCGAATCAAAATAAGACGTTGATGGTAAGCAGTATGACTATCACCGCCCACAACTCTTTGTGTTCTACTCATGCATATCATCTACGCATAGACCTGGCTCGGAAACCACTGTTGGGAAACCTAGCATGGAAAAGAAAAAAATTCTACGCACATGCAATGATCTATCCATGGAGACAAGGTTGTCAGAATCGCGATTCTGTTATACGATTCTACGACTTTACGATCCAAACTAACCCCTATGATTCTACGATTTTAGTTCATAGAATCTACGTTTCTACGATCCTGATAGTGAAGATCCTACGATTTGCGATCCTACCATCGGAGCTCCGATCCGATTCAAAATCACGATTCTGACAACCTTGCATGGAGATGCATAACAACGAGGGGGAGAGTGTGTCTACGTACCGTCGTAGACCTAAAGCGGAAGCGTTTGACAACACAGATGATGTAGTCGAACTTCTTCAGCTCCGACCGATAAAGTACCGAACGTACGGCACCTCCGAGTTCTACACACGTTCAGCTCAGTGACGTCCTTCCCCTTCTTGATCCAGCAAGGTGCGAGGTAGTAGATGAGTTCTGTCAGCACGACGGCGTGATGACGGTGATGGTGAAGTGATCTGCGCAGGGCCTCGCCTAAGCACCGCGAGAATATGACCGGGGGTGTAAACTGTGGAGGGGGGCGCCGCACACGGCTAACAATGATGTTCTATTGTCTAGGCGCCCCCTCCCCCTCATATATATATATAGGTGGGAGGGGAGGAGAGGCATCCATGGGGCGCCCCAAGTAGGATCCGAATCCTACTTGGGGTTTCCCAAGTGGCGCCCCCTTCCTTATTTTACCGAAGAGGAAAGGGAAGGGAGAAGAGAGAAAGGAAGGGAGGGGGGGGAACCCCCCTTTTCCTTCTCCAATTCGGACAACTTCCATAGGGGGGGCACCCCTTGTGGGCTGGTGTGCTCCTCTTTCATGGCCCATATATTCCCCCGGGGGGTTCCGGTAACCCCCGGTACTCCGATAAATACCCGATACATTTTGAAACACTTCCGGTGTCCGAATATCATTGTCCTATATATCAATCTTTACCTCTCGACCATTTCAAGACTCCTCGTCATGTCCGTGATCTCATCCAGGACTCCCAATAACATTCGGTCACCAAATCACATAACTCATATAATACAATATCGTCATCAAACGTTAAGCGTGCGGACCCTACGAGTTCGAGAACTATGTAGACATGACCGAGACACTTCTCCGGTCAATAACCAATAGTGGAACCTAGATGCTCGTATTGGTTCCTACATATTTTATGAAGATCTTTATTGGTCGAACTGTTATGACAACATACGTTATTCCCTTTGTCTATCGGTATGTTACTTGCCCGAGATTCGATCATCGGTATCTACATACCTAGTTCAATCTCGTTACCGGAAAGTCTCTTTACTCGTTCCGTAATACATCATCCTGCAACTAACTTATTAGTCACTTTTCTTGCAAGGCTTCTTATGATGTGTATTACCGAGAGGGCCCAGAGATACCTCTCCGATACTCGGAGTGACAAATCCTAATCTCGATCTATACCAACCCAACAAACACCTTCGGAGATACTTGTAGAGCATCTTTATAATCACCCAGTTACGTTGTGACGTTTGATAGCACACAAGGTATTCCTCCGGTATCCGGGAGTTGCATAATCTCATAGTCGAAGGAATATGTATTTGACATGAAGAACGCAATAGCAATAAAACTGAACGATCAATATGCTAAGCTAATGGATGGGTCTTGTCCATCACATCATTATCCTAATGATGTGATCCCGTTTATCAACTGACAACTCATGTCCATGGTTAGGAAACCTTAACCATCTTTGATCAACGAGCTAGTCAAGTAGAGGCTCACTAGGGACACAGTGTTTGTCTATGTATTCACACATGTATTAAGGTTTCCGATCAATACAATTCTAGCATGAATGATAAACATTTATCATGAATAAGGAATATATAAATAATAACTTTATTATTGCCTCTGGGGCATATTTCCTTCAGTTTCAACAGGGAAAACTGGTTTAAACTGGGGAGCACGTATAAGCAGCGACCGATAAACTTTTGATGTAGACCAGAAGATGCTGAGAACAAAACACCAAAGAAGGTTGTATGACGCACTAGGTCAGGCCAAGACGGGAGCACAACTCTCACACACTTCCTAATGAGGTCGATGATGACCAACCTTTGCCGGTTAGAATTGGAGCCGGAGGACCAAGGTTTAGTGTTGTCGAAGTTATGAAGTATGGCCGCAGGGACTCAGTAATTGGCATTGGTCGATATGGTGGTGCTCTACGAGTAGCAGATCTCAAGCTCAGGGGATGACACCTCTAGTTTTGATCTTTATTGATTCTACCTGGCAATGACAGTGTTTAAGTGTCGTTCCTTGTTAAAAAACCATTACTTGGATATTGCTTAGACTTGCTCTCTGGATAGAAAACCATGATCTGATTTTAGTGGTTGAATCAAACAATGGTTGTGCTTGTGACTCGTTCCCTTTCGGGATGCTTCGCTTGTGGAGAACTTTCTTCTGGGTGTTGCCAACCATATTGGTTGATGTTGATGTTTTCATGATGCATCTCATTGGCCAGTTGGGCATGCCTTCTAGGGATTCAATTGGGCATGCCATCATCATCCTCTATTTTTGTTTTATTTAACAATTTGTTTGTGTGCATTCGTGATGTCTCACCTAGCTTTTGACATTGAATTGTTGCAGAATCCGGTTGTACTAAGTATCAATTTGTAATTAATACATTATCTTTTGCCGAAAAGATATAACAGTTGAGCATTCTCCTAACATTTTCTGTTTGGTTGGACCCTCTCTTCTGAAATATACAACGTTGAAAATATGTGGTGCATTCTCCTGCTCCAAATTTACACTCATGGTCTACCCTTGTTGTGTTACCAGTCTGTTGCTGATTCACTGAAACTATATCGGCATTACATCAAAAAACAAGCACAATTATTATTTATTTTGGAATGAACAATTAACAAATATGATAATTGTGGTCAACCTTTGCCGAACACTGACTGTAAGCCGAGTGCCTTTCCACATGTATGCCAAGTATCGGTCGTACGCCCGGAGCTTTTTGTGCACTCAATCGGTTTGTATGGTAGCCGAGTACCTATTTTTTGCCATGTATTTTCCGGTCACTACTCAACTTAGGTGGACGTGAACCGAGAACCCATGTTTTGACACTCTGCTTATAATAAGATACAAGGCAGCGTGTGATTTTCCTGTAGTGGATATCACTAAAATGCCACTGTCAAAATGCTAACCAGCAACTTGACAAAAGGAAATCGTTGGCACAACAAAAATACTTCTCTTCCTTTTTTTGTGAGAAACTTCAATCTATTCATTTTCAATCATGGTTGTACAATAAACACTAAAAATAATAAAAATTACGTTCAGATCCGTAGTCCACCTAGCGATGACTACAAGCACCGAAGCAAGCCGAAGGCGCGCCGCTGTCATCATTCTTCCCTTGTGGAGCCGGACAAAACTTGGTGTAGTACATAGTCGGGAAGTCGCCGTGCTAAGGCCCCATAGAACAAACGCAACAGAACATCAACCGCTACCGATAGAGAGTAGTGTAGATCAAAAGGATCCAATCTGAAGACACTCGAACGTAGACGAATGACGACCAGATCCAGGCAAATCCACCAAAGACAGATCCGCCTGAGACACATCTCCACACGCCCACCAACGATACTAGATGCACCATCGAAATAGGGGCTAGGCGGGGAGAACCTTATTCCATTTTCAGGGGCCGTCGTTGTCTCGCTTTCCTGAACAGGACACAAACCCTAACAAAACTCGAAGAAAGATGTAAAAACGGAGCCTTTCCACCCGCAAGGGCCGGAATCCACTACGTTCCCATGGCCCTAAGGCCACCGGAGGCGAGGCAGACCGATGCCGACGCCGATGGGAGGCAAAGAAACCCTAGCTTTGGGAAGGAGGCAGCTGCTTCTCGTCCTGACACAGTACACATACTTTTTGAGTAAGACTCTCGTTACAAAGGTATAGCACGTTACTTTTATGAGACTAAACTATCAATATGAAATCAAAGACTTTGATTTGCTGAGCCTAGCTACTAGTAAAACTAATTGACACCCTGGTATATTTTTGTGAGCAAGACACTCACTAGCAAGTTACTATGTATGCACTAAACTACCAATATGAATTGATGACTTCGATTTGGCGAGCCTACTTGTCTTCTCCAACAGTTCAACTAAGGCCAGTGGACATGTTGCTTTTAGCTTCACATACCCTTGGCTTGTCATCATGTCATCCATTCCCCGTGTATCCAAAGTGGCAATAAACCGAATGCATGCATCATTCAACCTGCCGCAATGATGCCAATCAGCAAAAGCCAACGTAGTCACCACCGTCTTTGCATCGATGTTCTTACAAAGGATGTTTTCACATATAATCTTGAGCCTATCCATGGCATACCGATCCGCCGCGACAAGCAAATGGCCGACAATATCTCTATAGTCATCACGTCCAAGATCATCCATGGCAGGCAGTGAATCGGTGTATATAAAATGAAGCAGGGCCTCAAACACAACGGGCTGCATGTCATTGATGGCAATACGACTCATGTCCTTCTCTCTCATCGCGCCATACAGCTCTGCTTTGAACACCGGCGATCGCAAGGCGAGCACCAGCTTGTGGGCGGGAAAGGCCTCTTCTTGGACCTTGAAAATGACGTCGGTCCCCTCTTTCCCCTGCAATAGCTTCCCAAGATGATCCGTGATGTCTGACGGCGGGGCTTCCTGGACAAACGATTTCTCATCCTCGACAATTGTGACGACGCACTCAATGGTGAGGCGATCGTCTAGGAGGTAAGGCGACGCCTCCAGCTCGCTCCTTTTCTTGAACACCCAATTGCCGTAGCAGCTGTTACCGCCGGAACCGAATTCGTTTGTCATTGTCATCGTATGCGGCGGCGAGGATCCGGTGACGTCCACCAGACTGAACTTGAAGGACGCCGTTACCCTAGCGTCCTTGTGGTCGCTACATAAATCGAGGAACACCCCCATGTAGTCTCTATAATAATCGAGGTCGCAGACACCCCAGGGGTAGACCTGAATTTGCCAGTCGTAGCCTCCGACGGAGAACCCGGCCGACGTTGCGCAGCCGCCGTATAGTAGCGACGGGTGCAGGCTGTACCCTGCGATCTCGAACACGTGAGAGCCTTGCTGCACCCCCACCGTGTTCGCGGCGTGGCGCGTGGCCGCGGTGTTTGTGCTTCCCATCGCCGCGCGCTGCCCTTGTCCCGCTCTCGCTCACGGGGTTGGGGTTGGAGTTGTTTCGGGTAAGATCGACGTACGAAGTGGAAGTGGCCATTTTATATGGAAGGTAACGGGGCCGCTGGCCGGGTTTGGACCTGGACTACTCGGACTCGGAGGGCCAAGATAACCTTCCTTTTCGACTCTGGGGCGGATTTTGTCGATCCTCGTGTCGTTTTCCTCAGATTCTGTCTACAGGTTTATACATGGCTCCCTCTGCTCCAGACCATCGAGGCTGCATCTCTCTCGGTGCTGACTGCCACCCGCATCATGTATGCCGGCCGCAACGTGTACTTCCCTACCACCGCTTCCGGGTAATATTTTGGCATCCACACTTGAAACTCTACATCCTTCCTCCTCACTTAAGTTTGCCGTCCTATAATTAATTGATCTTCGGTAGAAGCAAGCGGCAGGCTCCCCGACGGGATTGAACAAAAGCTATCAGCTGTTATGCCTAGCTAGCCCAACAGAGAATAAATTGCAGAACTCGGCTAAGTTAATCGTGCGCGTGGCTTATACTTTTATCGTCGACGAGTGGTTCTGCTGAGTATATATCGTGTTCATTTCATACGTTTGGCATTGTCAAAGCTGGGAGGCACGACGGTGGGGACATGCCAAGTGGCGTTGCCGCGTTGGAAGCACACATGGTGACTTCCGTTTGTGGCACTCTACTAGTGACGGACCTCAAGCAGTCAAGCTTGGAGGCAAGGTTTTGGCTTTCAGTTTCAGAAAAATTTCAGCACCAAACGAAATCACCGAAATTCGATGATTTCAGCCAAAAAGGCGAAATATTCACTTGAATTCAACTAAATATTTTTAAAAATTTAAAAAAAATTGAAAAATATTTCAATTTATGTGTACTAATGAAAATACTGAAATATTTATTTTTGCTGAAAGGTAAATATTTCAGTGACTGCCGAAATTAGTGAAATTCAGTAGATTTTATCAAAACTCACTGAAAGTGAAAACCATGCTTGGAGGTGACAACTCTAATTTTGACTTTCATTGGTTATACCTGATGATAATTGTGATATTTAATCCGCGATACAATGTGAACAATCAGTCAACGGGCACACTCATTGTACGACGTACCTTTCACATGATGGGTCGGCCAAGAATGTCACCTATTGGTAAGTTTTTCAACCTGTTGAGTATGCTTGTGTTTTCTCGCTCACGTAAGCAAACCATGCCTTAAAATCCATATTCCGGAAAAAAGTAAGGAAGTGCGCCCAAAGTTTTTGTTTTCTTCCGAAAAGGAGGCTTGACCCCGGGCTTCTGCATCATTGTGATGCACACATCCATAACTTTGTCCAGGGTATCCGGTTCTTTTTTTTTGCAAGTATTGCTTGGACTTGCTCTTCGGTGTGAAAACCCATCATCTGGCCTTAGTGGTTGAATCCATCAAGGACTACAGAAAAGTGCATATAAACTTTAAGCAGTGATTTATTTTTGGCGCGGGCTCCTCGAATGTTATTTGTAGCTGAAGCTTTGCAAGAATATCAAATGTTTGATCATGTTTGATATCCCAAAGTTTTTTTTAATATATTGTTCATGAGGGTGTGGGAGGACTCAAGTGCAATCACACCTTTCTCCCTATAGAAGTGTGGTAGTGCAGACCTTCTCCTTTTTGGATGGACACTTAGAGTTATGATTGTGGTCAAATGTGATACATATAGTTCAACAAGATAGCATTTATATGTTGGTGTAGAATGATACATACCCATCATCTTGACAAAATGAAATCGTTGGCACAACATAACTATTTTCTTTTCTGAAGCATCAAATATACTATTACGAGCTAGACACTCATGATTCAGGCTGGACACGGTCCGGGCCGGGCCGGTCCTTGACCGAGCCACCCATTGGACCGGCCGCCGGCGGACCGAGCCGGACCGGACCGACCTGCCTCACGGTCCTGTTTGCACGGACCGGACCGGCGGCGCCGAAGCCCGGGCCGGACCGAGAGGACCGCCCATGGCGAGGTGGCGATGACCATGGCAGCGGCGTTGGAACATGGAGGTGGTGGGCGTGAGCTTCTGGGCGGCGACCATGGATGCCAGAAGCCGCCACGGGAGCGAGCCGTCGCGGCCACGAACAGCACACCGGCAATAGCTGCAACGCGCACGCCGTGGTCGTCCAACGTGCGGGCGGTGAAGTGATCGGGCACAAGTCTTTATTGTGTTTCCTTAGCATTTTCTTGGCCGCATGCAAATATGGTAAGACGTGCATGGGCCATCAATTTTTTTGGTGCGAGACTTCCGTGATTAGTGGATCAGCCCCGACGTGAAGTTGAGTCTTAGTCGTGGGCGTAGTGGAAGGAGAAACCGGATCAATTCCGTGAATCGTGGGATGGCAGGAGAGACTTGCGTATCGGATCGACCCCGTCTTTCTTGTTCTTTCCGTTTCTGCAACGCTGCATGAAAGGAAAGGGAAACGGCAGACTCCCACGGTTTAACACGAAAAATACGACTGTCTCTTTTGCGTGGACCACATCGACGACCTTCTCGCCGCCGTGGTCGAACCGCCTCATCTAGGTGAACTGTCTAGCGTTGCCCACGCCGGATTTAGATCCAGCCGCTGGTTCACCTCGCCGGAAGGCTGCCTGACGGAGAAACGGCCATGTACTTTTCGGTCCGACCGAGTTAACTGGGCTAAGACCGGACCGGACCGGCCGATTTTCGGGCCGAAATACACGGCTCGGACCGGCCATTTTTTCCAGCGAGCCAGGACCGATCGGTCCGGTCCCGAGCGGGCCACGAGCGGGCCGAAAAGCCCGCTCGGTACGTCCAGGCTGACTCATGATAGAAGGATGCAAAGCCATTTATGGGACTAACTGTGAATGTGAGATGAAGATATTGATTTGTCAATCCTGCATGTTGATGTCTTCTCCCACAATTGTACTGAAACCAAAGGACATGTTGGTTTTAGCTCAACATATCCTTGGCTTGCTATTACATGTTGCACTTTGGCATGACTTTTGAGGCCACAACTTTACCTTTTCTTTTTAATGATTTGATTATGTGCATCCTCAGTGTCTTGGTTAGTTCTCGAGTCTTGACATAGGGTTGCTACACAATCCGAGGGCACTTGGTATCAATTCAGTATATTGATATATTATCTTTCACCAAAAAGATCAAACGGTCGAACATCCTCTCCATACATCAACTTCTGTTCTTTCACACCCCTCATAAAATATGGAGTGCTCAGAGATGGAGAAAGATGGCATCCTTTCTGCCACTTTGAATTTATGTTCACTTGTACCCCCCCCCCCTCTATATTTACATACATACATTTATGTTTGAAATACGTAAAATCATAAAAATACATGATGGTGACACCACACACTACAATTAGAAGAGAATGTGCCAGTGCATTCAGAACTATCATAAGAGTTATGCCTCTAGAAATGTTCCAACTTGGCGCCGTCTCTTACTGTGCCATATCAGATTTTTGTCTAAGGCCGCATAATTAATGTGGCGAGATGATGAAACCCGTATGTTATGTAAGAGACCATCTCTAAACATAATAAATTACATATACCATAAAATGTTATAGTATCATCCAATTACGCTTCATGATCTAATAGTAGTGGGGGTATAATTTAGCAATACATTTTATAAAGTTATTTCATAAATATTAAGCCAATATAAGATATAATGCATTGGGGTAGTTCTCTCTAAAATTACACCATCTACTAGGAGAGCACCCAAACAGCCAATGCACTTGTCGATGATGCTAGATCAAATGTTCACTTTGAATTATGCAAGAACACTCATGGCTTACTCTTGTTGCTAATTTATTACAACAAATATCACCATTATAGCAAATAACAGACAGGGCGCGGATTTTAGGGACATGGTGCCACGTGATGCTGAAATCTCGGCCACCCACTTGTGCTTTGAGATTACTAATATAGGACATTTTCTAATATGATGGCAGCTACTCAATAATGCATTGGAATACGCTGCAGTGAGTGGGCCATGACACTTTAAATTCGTATATGCACTTTGTCTGATAGTTGAGTTTTGGCACGCTGTTAGATGTGTTCGATTTAAATCCCTGCTGGGTACTTGATGGCCTACATGTCATTTAGAACAGTCTTTAGAACATCTCCAATAGCCGCGTTATATAAGGGCCGCGCCGTAAATTTGTGCTTTTTAGCGCGCGCGCAATCGCTATCCCAGCTCCAGCGAACGCGCTATAACCGTGCGCGCGGCATAAAGAGTTCAGCGTGCGGTCCGAATCGCTATCGTGCGTCATTTATTTGCTACGTCCGCTACCGCGTGCCGCACACTCGAGCGCCCGCTACCGCGCACCGCACACTCGAGCGCCTGCTCGCGACTTCCACCTACCCCGACCAAGGCGCTGGCGCCGCCGCGCGCACCAACCCGGCCTATCCCGCGACCATTCCATAGACCATTCTGCCGCTTCCCCGGCCTATCTCCGTGCCGCCGCCGCTTCCTCCTTCTCCCTCCGGGCGTCGCCGCCCCTCGCGCACGCCATTCCTCCGACGAACAGCGCCCGACCGCCCACTGCCGCTCGGCGCCCACAAGGTGTTCGACAAAAAGCTTGCAAGGTATGTATTCAACTTCATATTTTTTACATGAATTTGGTGCATGTTGTTTGTAGTATTTATAGCCTAGTTTAAATTGAACATTGTAGATGAGTTCGTCATATAATTCTTCCGGAGAAGAATTTGATATTGAAGAGGAGGAGGATCTTGCAATGATCCTAGCTATGCACATCAATAAAAAACTGAAGCATGGTGGTTCGATTATGGGTCGGCAGAAAATTTGGAGGGATAGGATCGATGCTCACCACAGATTGATCAGGCACTATTTTGCGGATAATCTTGTGTAGCCCGAGTCGTACTTCCGGCACCGGTTTAGGATGAGCACCGAGTTGTTCAGGCGCATTGCAAAGAAACTAGTGAGCCCTGACCGGTTTTTTCAGCAAAGGAGGAATGT